CAACATTAGGAGGCACTTCCTGACAGTAAAGGCTGTTTGATAGTGGAACCATCTCAGACACCCATATGGGAAGCAGACCTCTGCCATATCTTGTGTTGGAGTCTCCTTCTTTGTAGGTCTTTAAATAGAGGCTGGATGGCCATCTTTTGGGGATGCTTTGATTGAGAATTCCTATATGGCAGGGGGGTTGGACTGGATGCCCTTTGTGGTCTCTTCCAACTCTGTGATTCCATTATTCTACCCAGAAAATGCAGATCCAGCATGATGGGGTGGTTTATGGTTTTCACTAGCACCCTGAGAGTCCAAGGTTTGAATCCCTGCTCTGTCACAGAAACCCACTGGGTGATAAATCTAACACTCTCAGACTCTGAAGAAGGCAATAACTAACCTCCTCTGCATAAACATAACCAGGAAAGCCCTGTTATAGGGTCATTATAAGTTGGAGTCAGTTTGAAGACAGATAATAAACATTCAGAAAATACGATTTCTACATCATATTAATGTCCTATTGATCAAAACCAAGGAGGTTTATGGCAAAAACAAACACCTAATTTCTTATGATTGACAGTGTAGTGACCAATCACCTCTTCCTTCCTTCCTTCCTTCCTTCCTTCCTTCCTTCCTTCCTTCCTTCCTTCCTTCCTTCCTTCCTTCCTTCCTTCCTTCCTTCCTTCCTTCCTTCCTTCCTTCCTCTCTGCTGAAGTTTAAATACCCTACCCTGAAGTATATTGTTCTACAGTATGTAGTTTTCTGTCTACTGAGAGAAGTAATGGCTGCTTCTTTTATGGGAAACCAAGATTTAATCCAGTAAGTCTGTACGAATCAATATCCTTGTGAAATGACAGCATGTTCGAGTTATTTTATGTTATGTTGATGGTTAGCTAATTTTGTAATGGAGACATTTCTTCTAGAAGCAGACATACTATAATTTAGTGGTAAAAACGTCAATCATTAAGGGTTGTAGGCCTGCACCAGGGCAGGAAGAGGGCAGATTTATTGATGGAAATGTATCTATATACTCTTTGTGGTACTTTGACTTGAAGTATCCATTTTGGTTATAATTTTGTTTTGTGAAAATGACATCAACTACAATCACTAATGTGAAAATGACACAGGAATGCTTTGTTCATCTGACCCACTACATTAACAGCTCCTCAATGGTAAATAAAGGAAAGCCCAGAATTTAAGTACTCTTCTGGAGCTGGTAAAGAAATATCCCAGGCAGTTGAAGAAACAGAGCACCATTTCACGTATTATCCAGAACAAACCTGGACTTTACACCAACTAATCCAAATCATGACAAGGGGTCTGGGAGACACTTGATGATAGTCAGGTTTGTAATTTATTGACATCACCCAGCAGGAGTTTGTAATTTGAAGACTTGCCCTAAAGCTACACGAAGGATGGTTATTAAAGGCCCTTTTCATAGCTGTGGCAATGGCCTAGGTTTTGTTTTTGTTTTTAAGAATCTTGGATCCCTTGTTTGTTAAATAATTCCCTCATACAGAAAAACTCACTTAAATACAATTTTAAGATTTATAGGGGGGAAACCGAAGTGAAAAAAAATGAGATTTTTTTGCACTTAATTCATTGAAGCTCAATGTTTAATGGGGATGATAACACCCTAAAAGGCAGGTTAAAATCTTTTAAACAAATATGTTTTATTATGCATTTATTTATTTAGGCAAATGTGGAGCCTTTCTGAACCCCTGTATTTAAGAGCTCCTTAACAGCCTTTTTAGCAGCAATAAATAAACATTGTAGGCTGTTGATAGTTCTATGGAATCTTAAATTCCATTACAAGGTCCAACTGATAGAAAGGGGGAACTTGCCTTATTGTAACGGATCTTGTACCTAATCAAATCCACATTAGTAGACCACTGGACTATTAAAAATCCTTTTAGCACTGACATACTGGTGTGTATTTCTCCCCTTGGAAGAAGTAAAAATAAATGTTCAAAGAGGAGATTTAAAATAACAAGCCCCACTTTCAACCTAGATCATCTCCTGTAGAAAATAAACTGTAGTGGACAAAATCCTGGACATGGAACACAGAGGAGTCCTTAGCCTATCCTACTTTGTAGAGTTGTTGAGAGAGTATAATTGAGATAGCCATATACATTCTTGTGTGACTTGTCTGATGGAAAGGATATGATGCTAAGATGATCCTGAATAATACCAGAGATACCAGTGAACTGTTGGTCTATGTTGTTGTTAAAATATTAAAAATAGTATAACAAATTATCTGTATGATTTGGAGGTCTACCAGTGGTATGGAACTTCAGGCCTTGGGGTTGAATTTTATCCTCCTGTGGTCCAAGTCCAGTCCTCTCAGGACCATACATCCATCTTCATGATACTATTGTTCAATAATTTGCCAAGTCATATATTTTTTTCTCCCATTCTGAATGGTAAAAATGATTTTCCTAAGGCTTAGGGGCTGTACAGACCAGCCACAAGGGCTGACCTGGGGGTGGAGCGGCAACCACACGCCAGCTGCCCTGACTCTGCCCCCATGTCATCCTCATGCTGCCCACCCAAATAGGTGGCAGGTGGTATCAGGGCACTCTCTTGGAGCAGCGTTCATACATACTGTGCCAAAGGAGCACCGAAAAGCCACTGCCGCCACGGCAAAAGCAGCTTTTTGCTGCTCTAAAAAGGAACGGCATTTGCCAGCTCTTTTTACAGTGGCAAGGGGGTTCCAACTGCCAGAAATAGTGCAAACTGAGTCCACTTTAAGGGTTAGGGTTAGTGCTAGGGAATCATGGGAATTGTTTTTGGTTTTTTTCTGAGACATTGAGCCTTCTCTGTCAGAAAGCTCTGGTGCCACAATAAAATACAGTTCCCATGATTCCCTAACCCTAACCCTAACCCTTAAAGTGGACTCAATTTGAACTATACATCAGCCCTGGTGGCGCAGTGGTTAAATGCCTGTACTGCAGCCACTCACTCATAGACCACAAGGTTGCGAGTTCAATACCAGCCAGGGCTGAGGCTCGACTCAGGCCTGCATCCTTCCGAGGTCGCTAAAATGAGTACCCAGCTTGTTGGGGGGCAATCAGCTCACAGTTGTAAACCGCTTAGACATCCCATAGCATGATATGAAGTGGTATATAAATAAGCTGCTTTGCTTTGCTTACTATTTCTGGCAGTCTGCAACCCCCCAAAGTGCCAGATTGGGGCTGAAACGTGTGGTTCCATGGGCCCGATCCGGTGCTCCCAGGGGCGGCATAGAGCCACCCCTTTCGGGCAGTCTGTAGATCCCTATATTTACTGGAAGTAAGAGTTTCAGTCTTAAATCAAAATTAAATTTAAAAATTCAGTCTTAAGTATGCCATTCTTTGGCCATCAGCACAG